TTTATCGTGGCTTTGTTCACAATAGCAAGGATTTGGAAACAACCCAAGTGTCCATTAACAAACGAATGGATAGAGAAGCTGTGGTATGTTCACACAATGGAATACTATGCTGCATTGAAAAACAAGAAACTCATGCAATATTATTCAAAATGGTGACCCTGGAGGACATCATATCGAGTGAAATATCTCAGTCACAAAAAGACAAATATTACATAGTGCCACTGTTGTAGAATGGGACTAACATCAGGGTTAGGATAAGACTGAGAAAAACTGGATAAATTATGTATACTGCATTGAAACAGATGAGTGAGAGAACAGTTTAAAGTGATATATGATAGGGTATTATGGTTATCACAGGAGTCCAGAATTAAGGTTGCATAATGCAGTGTACTCGGTGTGGGGGGTGGGGTGGGGGGATTGTATACCAATGAAGGAATTTTTCTTTTATTCTTCAAAGAAAGGAGCGAACTGGGGGGACGGGGTGGGCAGGGAGAAAAGTGCAACAATGAATGAATGGAATTGAAAAATCTCTGTAAATGTTCATTAGAATAAATAAATTAAAAACAACAACAAACAAAACACACAGAGAATCACAGTAAGATAAAGGTAAACAACCCAATTGCAAAGTGGGCACCAAAGAAGATATTCAGATGTCAAAACAAACACAGGAAGAAATGTTCAAAATCCCGAGCTCTAAGAGAGATGGATATCAAAACAACTATGAGATATCATCTCACCCCCTAACAATAGCAAAATTCAACAAAGCAGCAAACAACAAATGCTGGCAAAGTTGTGGAGAAACTGGAACCCTTATTTACTGTTGGTGGGAGTGTAAAATGATGCAACCACTCTGGAAGGCAGTATGGCACTTTCTCAGTAAGTTGGAAATAGAAATACCACTTAATCCAGCAATTCCACAACTGGGAATATACTCTAAAGAAACCATAACTGCCACCCAAGCAGATATATGCACATTCATGTTTACTGATGCATTATTCACAATAGCAAAGGGATGGAAACAACCCAAGTGCCCATTAACAAATGAGTGAACAGAGAAGCTGTAGTATACTCACACAATGGAATACTATGCGACATTGAAAAACAAGGAACTCATGAAATAATATACAAAATGGGTGACCTGGAGGACATTATGCCTAGTGAAATATCTTAGTCACAAAAGGAAAAATACTGCACAATACCACTGTTACAAAACAGGACTGACATTGGGGTTGGGGGAGAAAACTAAGAAAAGAGAGGATAAACAATGTATACTGCATTGAAACAGAATAAGGAGAGAAGTGCTTAAAAGGAATATACTATTAGATATTATCTGCATGACAACAGTCCAGAATAAGAGCTACATAGTAAAGTGTACTGGGGCAGGGCGTGGGGGTGGGGTGGGGTGGTTGAGGGAGGGAAGGAATCGTACAACAATTAAAGAATTTTATTTTTTTAAAGAGAAAAGTGAACTGGGGGAGGGGTGGACAGGAAAGAAAATGTGCAACAATGAATGAATGGAAATGTTCTCTGTAAACTCTCACTAAAATCTCAAGGAAAAAAATAAAAACAGGAGAAAGAAAAAACTTAAATAGGTCAGAAGAGACTCTAAAAATTGCACTAGAACACTGAGAAGCCAATCAAAAGGTAAAAGCTAAAGTAAAAGAGCCGAAAAGATTTAAAAGTGCAGCTCGGGAGGACAAAGCAAAGTATTACAATAGAGTGTGCAAAAAGCTGGAATTGGAGGATAAAAGGGGAAGAACTTGCTCTTCATTTCTCAAGCTGAAAGAACTGAAAAGATCTGGAGTTACTATAGTGAAAGATGCTATGGGCAATATATTGAATGACCCAAAAAAGCATCAAAAGAAGATTAAGGGAATATATAGAACCAATGTACCAAAAAGAACTGACTGACACTGAAAAATTTCAGGAAGTACCATATGAACAGGAATGTTGTAGAAGCAGCATTGAAGTCACTGAAAAAATAAGGACCCAGAAATTTATGAGATACCAATTGACTTGCTTTAACAGATGCAGCCCTGGATATGCTCACCAGTCTATGCCAGGAAATTTGGAGGACAGAGTTCTTGCCAATGGATTGAAGAGGTCCATATTTGTTCCCATTCCCAAGAAAGGTGATCCAACTGAATGGGGAAACTATTGAATAATATCATTAGTATCACTGTAAGCAAAATAGTACTGAAGATTATTTAAAAACAGCTAGAAGAGTATATATAGATAGGCAACTGCCAGAAGGGCAAGCAGGATTTAGAAGAAGCTGTGGCACCAGGGATATCACTGCTGATGCCAGATGAATCCTGGGTGAGAGTAAAGAATACTAGAAGAATGTCTATTTGTGCTTTATTGACTATACAAAGACATTAGACTATGTGTATCATAACAAGTCATGGCTGACATTGAGACGAATGGGAGTCCTAGAGCACTTAAATTGTGATCATGCGAAACCTATACCTCGATGGATCCACTTCCGTAATAGCTTGCCTCCGGAAACCCTATGAACCTGGAGAGAGGATGAAAAAGGCACCCAAGCGTCGAGGACTCTTCTTCATAGGGTCGCTATGAGTCGCCTGTGACTCGACGGCACTTAACAACAATAACATCAACAGAAAGAAAAAGAGAGAGAGAGAGATCAGCTGGTTCAGTGATGAGAAAATGATGTGACCAAGACAAAGGTGGGTGACTTTTAATCCGCAGCCCTCAGGCCAGTCTTTCATTGTTTTTGTTCAGACATTCCTCTAGCTTGTATAGCCCTGGTGTACAAGTTTTCATCCCGCAGTCACTTGTGGTTGCTGTGAGGCTGAACACTGTGACACGGATGTGTCAAATGCGTTAATGGTTGGCTACCCAATGTGGACAGAGAGTGGGGTGGAGGAGCTTCCCGATTAAAACAAGTGTGGAAGGAGGAGTGGCATCCACTTCCATAATAGCTTGCCTCCGGAAACCCTATGAACCTGGAGAGAGGCTGAAAGGCATCCAAGCGTCAAGGACTCTCCTTCATAGGGTCGCTATGAGTCGCCTGCGACTCAACGGCACTTAACAACAACAACATACCTGGATGAGGAGGCTGTTCGTGAACAGAGTAGAGGGACACTGCATGGTTTAAAATTAAAAAGGGAGTGCATCATGGTTGTATTCTCTCTCCATACATATTCAATCTATATGCTGAGTAAATTATTAGAGAAGCTGGACTCTATGAAGAGGCATGTGGCATTGGGATCGGAGGGAGACTCATCAATAACCTGCGTTATGCAGATGACATAGCCTTGCTTGCTGAAAGTGAGGAGGACTTGAAGTACTTTTTGCAGAAGATCAAGGAATGCAGCCTTTGGTATGGAGTGCATCTCAATGTCAAGAAAACAAAGATTCTTACCACTGGACGGAGAAGTAACAGCATGATGGATGGAGAAGAGACTGAAACTGTAAACAGCTTCATCTTACTTGGATCCAAATTAACACCCTTGGTACCAGCAGTCAGGAAATCAGGTAACCCACTGCACAGGGAAAGTCTGCAGTAACAGACCTCTTCAAATTATTGAGAAGTAACAATGTGAGTTTGAGGAATGTGAGTCTGGTTCAGGCCATGGTCTTTCTGATCACTTGCTATGCATCTGAGAGAAGGACAATGAATAAATAAAGATGACAGAAGAATTGATGCCTTTGAGCTGTGGTGTTGGAGAAGAGCACTGAACATCCCATGGACAGCCAAAAAAAAAACCAAGTATGTCTTGGAGAGGGTGCAACCAGAGAACTCTTTGGAGGCAAGAATGATGAGGCTTCACTTCATATACTTTGGACATATTGCTAGGAGGGTTTATTCCTTGGAGAGGGACATGATGTTTGGAAGGGTGGAGGGTTGGTGAAGGAGAGAAAGATCCTCGACCAGGTGGACCGACATGGTGACTGTTACAATGGGCATGAGTGTGTCAGGAAGTGTGAAGATGGGACAGGATAGGGCCAGGTTCAGATCTGTCATCCATAGGGTCACTATGAGTCATACTAGACTCGCTGGTGCCTAACAACAACCACCATTTTCAAAACGCCTGGCACACAGTAGATATTCAAGAAATATTTGTTGAATAGAGAATAGGAAATCTAATGACAAGTCTCTTTGTTCACATATGGAGTAGGGAGGAAAGGTTTTCTCTCTTCCTTGTCTAGAGTAGCAATTTGATTAGCAACACTTAAAAGTAAAAAACTGTACTAGTAGCTAATGTAATAACCATCAACAAAACTCCTTATTAATTAAATATTGAGGCAAGCTTCTGGCTGAAAGTCTTTAGTTAAAGGGAATGCTCAAAGTGACCAGAGGAAAAAACTCATTTTGGTTTGTATATCTGTCTAGATGGAATTGCTGCAAAAGAACCACTGCATGGTTTTGAGAGCATCTGCTGAGAGTACTCCCCTGAGAGCTGCACTTGTAAGCAAGACAGTATCTAAAAACAAGTAGTGAGATGTTCTAGGTCACTCAAATTAACTTAGAACACTCCCAATGACTAAATGTTTTGAGCTTCAGGAATGTGCCCTCAACTGTGTCTGGGTCCAGGAAGAATATGGAATTTATGAACTAACAATCTACTTGTTCAAGAAAACTGTCAGTGGAAGAGAAGGAGCCAGGCTTGGTTGGCTTTCTTGCTGTCTTTTGTTTACCCATTCACTATAGTAGGGAGACATATCAGAAGCTCTTTTGTCTGTAATCTTCCAATGTCTTAATTAAAAGGTAGTAAGAAAGGAATAGGAAAAAACCCAAAACCTCAACATATCTACTCTTCAAAACCGTAGAACTAAGTACTGTTATTAGAAACAGAGAGTAGAGGGCACTAATGAAACTTGAGAGCTTTTCTGACTCCTGATTAAATGCAGATCACATAAGGGCTCTTAATGGGAGAAGGGGAGTATAGCTCTCAGTACATCTGGTCCCTGGTATTAATCTTAACTGTCTGGTGATATCAAGGCACGTGGCTTTTGGGGCAGCAAATAAATACCTGCAATGATGACTGAGTCAGTTCGGGCTGGGCCAAATTTCAATGTCATCTCATGCTTGTGTTTATGAACTGCCAGGTGGTCCTCGTTTGTAAATCTCTGAAATGAAACAGAAATGGAGATGGGAGGGGGGAAGAAAAGAAAATAAGCAATATCCTTTATAAATGTTTTCCCAAACATTCTGCAGTAAGGTTAGTTCCTGGAAAGAAAGACAGGAGAGGAAAAATGAATATAAACTGGAAGTGAGGAAAGAAAGAGAAGATGATGAAAAGAAAATGGGGGGAGAGAAAAGATGTGCTGAAAAGCACAGACAGCAAAGGGAAAGACTATAGCACCAACTGCTCTGTAATATCAAGTCCAAACGAGCGAAGTGGACAGATTGTTGGTGAAGTGGGGTCCAAGCAGGAGGCTCCAAATTAAGGCAAACTCGTAGCAAACAAGGGGAAAATAATTTTTAATAATAATAATAAAGAGAGAAGGGTAAAGGCTGGATACTCATTGGTCATCACAAAATAGGAAATTCCGAATGAAGCGCTCCACGGTGGGGCTGAACTGGACTATTTTATGAGGGGGCTAGCAGAGAGATAAATTATGCAGGATTAGCAGAACCATTTACCTTCCTGGCCCCCACAGTGCTGCAGCAGGCGCCTGCGCGGCTATTTGGCTGAGGGTTTTAATGAGTCAGGAAGGAGCTGTAGAGGACTGAGGCCCAATGGCCAGCAGTAACAGCACACACCAGCCCCATCCGCCAAATGCCATCTCCCCTCATCAGGCAGCCCGCCTGGACTCCATCAGCCATAAAGAGATTAGTACAATGCTACTGGCTGTATAATGGTAGACTAAAAATGCAAAAAGGGTATTTTCTACCCACGGTGGGGGGGGGGGAGCTTGTTGGGGGGGTGAGGGAAAGAAAAGGAAAAGGATTTTTTATAGCTGCTTCGGTGAAAGGATAATAAAAAGGTGAGATTAGGTCTAAAGAAGGTAAGATTACTGTATAATAATTTATGCTCCTGCCCCTTTAAAAGGAAGAGGTAAAGGGAACAGACACACAGTAGCAATTCAAAAGAATATATTATCTTCATAATTCCATTCAAGAACGGCTGGCCACATTCCTTCATTGAAACATGCCTGCAACATACTAACAGCTTGGATACTGCAGTATTCCATAGCTCCTTCACCAGTAAGCCTCCTAAACATAGTTCATTTGTCTGTTTCTAAAAATAGTGACTGGTTAGATTCCTCTTTTTACTTCCTTAGATACATATTTCCCCACTAAGCATTACACCTTTAGCCCTTTCTTCTTCCACAACACTTTCTGATAGCAATCAAACAGACATGAATTGGCCTTACCCCAGTTCTTAGCTAGTCTTAAAAGCAAAGCAGAAATGTCTAGTCTACGAAAATGTCTTCATTTTACCTAGAAGCTGTAAAATTCATTTTTACTGAATTTGCTGAGCACAGTAGTAAGGAAATTATGCTTAAGAGCCCAAATCCTTCTTACTGAAGTGTAGAGAGAAATTTCAATTAAAAGTATGAACAGCTAAGTAGTAAAGCAGTCAAAAGATTGCTACAATCAGAATTTTCATGATGGACCACCAGGAGAACAAACAGGTATGTCCTGGAGATGGTGAAACCAAGCTTCTCCTTGGAAGCAAGAATTTTGAAGCTCTGTTTCATCTGCTTTGGGCATGTGACCAGGAAGGCCAGTCCTTGGAGAAGATCATAATGCTTGGAAGGGTGAAGGGACAGTGCAAGAGAGGAAACCCCAGATGAGATGGATTTACACAGCAAATGGGGTACTGGGGGTAGGCGTGTCAGAGACAGTGAGACTGGCTCAGGACAGGGCAGCATTCAGAGCTTTTGAATATAGGATCACTATGAGTTGCAGGTGACTAGATGGCACAGAACAACAACTGGTTAAACAAGGAACTAACCTTTTCCATCACTTGATTTGTCCCTTAAGGAAAAAGGGGTAGAGGTGAGAAGAAAGAACATAGTACCCAGTACTATAAAAGAAATGCCTCAGGTGGGTGGCTTTAACAAAGAGAAATGTTTTTCTCACAATTTAAGAAGCTGGAAGTCTGAATTCAGAGTGCTGGCACTAGGGCAAGGCTTTCCCTCTCTGCTGGCTCTGGAAAAAGTTATTGTCTTTTTTGAGTTTGTTCTCCTGGGGGAGGTGATTTTCATATGGTTTGGCATCTTACTCTCCCATCTCATTTAATCTATTTTATATTTCAAAAGATAGAGACTTAAGAAGAGCCTACACTAATCCAGTTTTACAGCCATAAATTCAAAACAAAATCCACTGTTGTCCAATTGATTCGTCTCATGGCAACTCTCTATGGGTTTCTAAGGCTATAAATATTAATGAGCAGACTGCTTCATCTTTTTCTTAAGGAGTCTATGGTGAGACTGAACCACTGACCTTCTGGTTAACAGCCCAACATATTACCCACAACACCACCACCTTAAGCATAGGCATCTCTTGTTCTCATTGCTGCCATGTTGCTGTATGCCACTGAGCTGGAACTGACTCATAGCAGGTTTTCAGAAGCAGTAAACCGCATGAGAGGAAACAGCCCATCCTTTAAAGCACCTGATGGATTTGAGCCTCATGCCTTTGGGATTAACAGTGCAACTTCTTGCCATTAGGCCACCAGAGCTCCCTCCAGGTGTCATTCAAAATAAACAGCTGACCCATCAGTGGGTTTTCAGGGGTTGTAAATTACCCAAGAGGAAACTGTTCATCGTGTTCTTTCTCTCGAGTAGCTGGCAGATTCAAACTGCCTGCTTTGGGGTTGGTAGTGCAACTCCTTAACCACTAGACCACCAGAGCTCCCTAATTATAGGCACAGAAGTGAGGATTTACATCACATCCTTGACACAAGTTAATCCACGTAACATTCCACTCTCTGGCCCCCAAAATACATGTTCTGGTGATATGCAAACCACATTCATCCTATAACACCATCCCAAAGTCTTAAAATACTTTTAAGTCTGAAATCTTGTCTTCTAAATCATCTGAATAAAAAATGGGTGAGACGTTAGGCATATTCTATCCTGGGGTGAAGCTTCTCTTTATCTGTAAACCTATGAAATTTAGAAAACAAGGTATCCTGCTTCCAAAGTACAATTTGCACAATGTACAACAGGTACAAGGTAAATATTTTCATTATAAACAGAAGAAAATGGTAGGGAAGGGGAGATAATGGGCGTTCATCTAAGTCCAAAATCCAGTAGAACAATTTACATTAACTCTTGAAAGAATTCTTCGTTCTTTGGGGCTGTCTGATCAGTGGTCCCAGCCTTCATACACTCTGACTGTTGGACATACCTTTTGGATTCTGGGTGGAGACCCCTTGACCCTGGGGTTTGCTTCCACATTCCAAGACCAGTGGGATGGCAACTCTGCTCCTTTGGTTTTGGGTGGCCCTGTTCTCCTAATGCACCCTTTAGCCTTGGCAGGCCCCAATGTTTTGTACTTGGTCATGGCAACCCCACTGTCTCAGAGCCTTGGGAGGCAGTGTTATTACCCTGGCATACATTAATGGTAGGTCCACAATATAAAATCAGAACCATGATAGTGCGGATACAACTCTTTGAAACTTAGGAGCCTGTAGCCCAACCCTTTGACATTCAGGAGCCCATGGCCCCACCCTTTGAAACCAAGACGACCTTGCTTCTTAAATTCTTTCCAACAGATCTCATCTCTGAGCTACTCCAGTGGTCTTTTTCTTTCCTGTAGGAAAATAGACACAGCCTGTTTCTTAATATGCAGTATCCTTTTTGTTTTGTCTCTGACCCCTTTCAGTTTCAACTGAGGAGTTTTCTGCTGTGGTAGTTGGTTAAACTTATCAGCATGGGCTTAATCTCTTAAAAGATTGCACAGAGATATCATAGCTGAATATTGTAGGGCATATGTCTTTAATTGTTCAACAGAATTTTCTAAATCTTTAAGTTCTGTTTTCATTTTGTACAGTTTCCTTCTAAGACCCAATTCACTATAAGAAGCAAAAAGAAAGCACTGGGCCCCTTTAAGATCCTGTAACCCCACTAAAAGTTTGAACAAATTCAGACAAATTGTTTGCTACTGCATAAAAAAGCATCATACTTCCTCCTTTTGTCCAGCCAATTGATATGTTCATTAATTTCTTTTAAAGTCATACCTGATCATATCCATTCCTAGCAATATTCTGATGTTGGCATTACCGCATATTGTTTTTATTTTAAATAAAATTTTTATTTTATACTGGTTTACTTACAAAGTTCATGTACATTGTTTTTCACACCAAATCTTTCCCACTTCCTTTACCCACCTCTACCTCTGCACATCAAATTAAACAGTCCTATGGTTAATTATTCCAATCCCCCTACCACTCTATCATCACCCTTCTGTTCCGCCCCCTCTTCCCCCTTGAATCTTTGTACACATTTTACAATAATGGTCTTATACAATATTTGTCCTTATGGGACTGGGTTGGTTCACTAAGCATATAATGCTCTCCAGTACCTCCCAAGTTAGGTAGCGGTTTACAAAATCATTGCTCATTTACTGCATATTCTTGAAGATGATACTTTCTCTTTAATTCTCCTTACTTCCTTCTTAGTTCTCACCAACATTAGTTTGTTTCCTCCCTCCCCAATATTAGTTTTGATATCCATAATTCTATCAAGAGTCTCATCAAGGCAATTTAGGCTTTTACTATTTAAATCAAATGAGATCTGGTAGGCTAGTGGGTCAAGAGTTATGCTGTCAACCCAAAGGTTCCTGACTTCCTCTCCATTTAGAAGTTCTGTAATTACACTTCTTATTCCCTCTCTTTGCTTTGTAGTTGTCATTGCTTGTGGTATGAAATCTCTTGTTTCCTAGTTTTACTCTAGTGCCTTAGTGGTAAGGAGTTGCTCTGCCAACCCAAAGGCACACAGTTTGCATATACCAGCTGCTTTGCTGGTATATCTCTTCCTATGCAATTTACTGCCTCTGAAAACTCACTGAAGGGTTAGCTTTAAGTCAGTTCTGTCCAAAGAGTACACAGTAACAACAACAACACATGCGAACTATGCTATTGTGCATTTTTGCATCTGGGTCAGTTTCTGAA